AAAAGAATCTGTAAGGGCCGGCCCGGTGGCGCACTGCGCTAGTGCGCCGCTTGGGAAGCGCGGCAGCACTCCCGCCGAGGGTTTGGATCCCACATACAGACTGGTTCCCGCTCACTGGCTGAGCGAGGCGCGGGGGCAACACTGAGGGTTGCGATCCGTTGCTGGACACGGAAAAAAAAAAAAAAAAGAATCTGTAAAATGCTTATTTTAGAGGATATCTAGTTAGACTTCATGAATTTATTTTTTGCCTTTGGTCCAAAGAGTTTGGGGAAATTCAACACCAAAACTACTAATCTTTCCAAGAGCATGTTATCACATGAGCTTGGTTGTAATAAAGAAGGCAATATAAAATACATGTAAGCTCAGAAACCTCAACACAAAACAACATCAAAAAAGTGATTAAAGATTGTTGGGAGGGAGGGGGGAGAGGAAGGAGGGAGGGAGGCTTCAGTAATGGGCCACAATAATCAATCACATTGTATATTGACAAAATAAAATTAAATTAAAAATAAAATAAAAAAGAATGGAGCTTAGAGACTCAAGATGGCGACGGGTCTGGAGCGGCCGTGCCAGGAGACAGCGCGACCCTGAGAAGTGTACGCTGTGATACCAGAGTACTATTTGCATTTCCAAGAGCAACAAAAAACGAATAAATTTTTGAACAACTAACCTACAACGACGAAAAAGCAACTACAGATTCGAGGTTTTTGGGCCGTCACAAAAGAAGATTCCTGAGAGCACCCAAGCCGTGCTGCGGGATCGAGCGAGCAGCCCGAGACAACAAAGGCCAAGTAAGTCAGCAGAGACAACACAGAAACGGATTGGAAGGCGCCGGACCGGCCCAACTCTGTGAGCTTTGTGAGTACCAAAAGTCCAGCCCCACTTGCGGGGCAAAGCCCGTCTGGATTCCGCCTGCCTGGCTCCCACCTGCCTGGCTCCCACCTACCACACCAGGCTAGGCCACGGCAACAGCACTGCCTCCATTTTCTCGGGTGGGGGCAGAGACAGCCCCTTGGCTTGGCGCGGCTCCTCACTGAGACGGACCACTTGAGCACCTCGACGCGGGGCCCCCCAAGGCCTGTGGACCAGCCTACAATCCCACTCACCCCGCGGATCTCTGACGGGGCTGGTGGCGGGGGGAGCCCCCGGCCAGCGTCGGGAGGGCTGGGAAGTGGAGCGTGCCCAGACTGTCACTCCACCACACCCTGGGCTTCGGCCCCAGGTAAACTCCCTGTTTCCGGNCAGGGCCACAAAAGCACTCAAAGTGTCCCCACAAGACAACTGAAACTCCTCCTGGGCAGGGTGGGGCAGGACACAGCTTTGATGTCCCAGCTGATAGACGAGGATTGTAGAAGACACGCCTCAGCCCTGTACTGAGCGCACACAGTGGGGAGGGGTCTGGCAAAAGGAGGCGGAGTCTCGGAAAAAAAAAAACTTACACACCCTGCGGGCCCCCTTTGCAAGGCTCAACAACCCCACCTAGTGCACACAGAGTGGGAAAACGCCCAGATAGCGAGGTGCAGAACACACATAC